ATTCGTAATTTTGATTGGGTGGGAGGATCTCGGAAGTGATCTGCAATTTGTGTAACGATGACGGTCGCTCCTGTTCTATAACAAGGATTAATTAATAATACCCTGACCGTATGTGAATAAGCGGAAACGAAGTTTCCGCTAATTCCCAACGGATCAAGATATTATTATTACAAATTACTATATTTTTTGGCTTTTCGTTAGTCAATAATACGTCGTTTGTTATACGTAACATCTAAGTCGTACGATTCGTGAAGTTAAGCGCAGTAAGCGCAGAATTACTTAAACTGACCAATCATTCTTAAGTTACAGGTCCATGAATGTATACTGCGGACCGCAGAAGGAAAATTTGAATATAAACACAAAAAATAAAAGCCGAAAAGAAAAATTAATTTTGATATTCTTCCAAAGATTTTATTCTCGTTGGGTTGATTAATCTGATTTATTATTAATTTATGAAGAGTCAATTAAACATTTATCTCTCTAATTGAATTATTTATCTATAATTAATTCGTGAGATTGGTCTTGAAAAATCTTATATAAATCATTTATTTCTAATTAAATTATTTATAAATAATTAATCCGCGAGATTGGTCTTATATTCTTGAGATTTTTAACGATCTAAAAAAAAAGCAAACGAAAAAGATGCAAAATTATTCTGGATTAATCTGTATTTCTAATGCCTTTGGCTACAAGCCCATTCCTTTGAAAAATATTAATGTTGAAGCTAACGGTTTGTAATTAAATTTCCAGTTGGTCTGTTATATTTTTTTTGAAAGGACAAATTATCGATTCATTTTGCTAATTTTATCGTTATACCATCTATGTTCAACCCTAAGTGGTGGATATGATTGCTGAAGGTAAATTTCATAAGAATTACTTGTACATTATTTTTAATCAATCAATAATAACGTCTTTTTAATTTGATCCACAGTTGTCATTTCTCAAACTTATACAAATGTCGAAAACGATACAATTGAAGCGATCTATAAATTTCCAACACACGAATCTGCGGCTATATGCGCCTTTGAGGCTGAAATTGATGGTAAAAAAAAGGTCAAAGGTATTGTTAAAGAAACACAAGAGGCCGTAAAAGAATACAATACTGCTATTCAGGTGATTTATTTTATACTTAAGCTTTGGCATTAATTTTGCATATTTAATAATAAGTTTTCTTTGTATAGGAAGGACATGGTGCTTTTCTATTGAATGGACAACTTCCAGATGTATTCGAATGTATGGTCGGGAACATTCTTCCAAAACAGACTGTAACCATCAATATTACCTATGTTGTAAGTAAATAATCTGTAATAATTACTTATGTAATAAGTAAATAATCCGTAACTTTAAGAAAGCTCATATTTAATCTTTTTAATACATTCAGACTGAACTTAAACATGACTCAGAAACCGAAAAAATTCGTTTTGTAATTCCCACTTCAATTGCTCCGAGATATGGAAGCTATGGACCATCAGAAATTTCTTCTTTCGCGAGCAATTTACCCCTTGTCAACACTGTTAATCCAACTAGCAATTTATCAATTTCTGTTACGTGTCGAATGACATCCATCATTACAAGTATTGAATCACCATCCCACTATATCTCAACTGAATTAAATATCGATGGGAACCCAAAAATTTCTCGAATTACTTTGAATGAGCAGACAACTTATTTGGAAAAAGATTTCGTGTTGGTCGTTAAGAGTCAAGGTCTTGATCAACCAAGGTAATTTAATATTATTTATACGTAAAAATATGTTAATCTTTTTTCATGAAATTTTATTAATTTTTTTATCTAAATTTTATTTTAGAGCATTTATTGAATATAATCCAGTGACCGAGACGAATTGTGCTATGTTAACTTTGGTTCCAAAATTTGCTATCAATCCAACTTTGACCGAATTGATATTTGTTGTTGATAGGTAAAGCTATTAAGTATATTATTATTATTTTTTTTTTATTTAAAACTTATATTAATATATATTTTATTATTATTTGTAGATCTGGCTCTATGGCGGAAACTCCTATCCGAAAGGCCGCTCAAGCGCTTGAATTATTCCTACGATCACTCCCAGAAGATTCTTTTTTCAATGTTGTATCATTTGGTAGTCATTACGACTCACTTTTTCCGAAAAGTCAACCTAATTCTCAATCGACGATCTCAGCCGCCCTTTCGCTTGCTCAAAATATGACAGCGAATTATAATGGAACAGAAATGTATCAATGTTTGAAATGGGTCCTTGAAAATAAGAGAAATGATATGCCAACTGCCATAATTCTTCTTACAGATGGTAGTGTTTGGAATGTAGATCAAATTGCCGAATTGGTTCGATCAAAGGTAGAAGAAAGCAATGACCTTCGTTTATTCCCTTTGGGGATCGGAAGGAATGTATCTCATAATTTAGTAGAAGCTGTCGCACGCGCTGGAAAAGGATACGCACAATTCATAACTGACTATAATAACGATGGATTTGAAAAAAAAGTTATTGGATTTTTGAAAAATTCAATCAGACCTCCAATTAAAGATTATAAAGTCGAATGGACTGAAAATGGTGTCATAGAAGTCGAGGATGATGAACCTTCAAAGAAT